ATTAGAGGAAAAAGTAAAGGGAAGAAGAGGGGATCTTTATTTGGAAGGTTGGCTTTGGGGTTCAAACTACAGGAGCAGTCCGAGTTTATATCTAATGTTTCCACTCTCCTTTTTCTAGCGCCAACGACTTTGATCTTTTTGCTGTTGGGTTGAGCAGGTCACCCGCACACTCACCCACAACACACCCACCACCCGACGGATGGCTCCCAGCGCAACCCGTCACCCACCCACAGACCCACCCACTTAACGAAATTCGGGTCAAATGCGGGTGGGTCGGCCCAAACCCATGGATGATCCGCCCGCATGTCCAGCCCTACCAACCATGGCTAGAAACATTTCGAACCCAAACATTTTTCGGGGATGGCTCAAGCTGAAGAAATGGAGAAAACTCATAGATAGTAACATGACGCTGAACTAATCTGCAAATCGACTCAAGATAGGGTGAGTAACAATGAGTAACCAAATCTGGACCCTTCTTTTAAGTGACTGCAAATCTAAGGGTGGAGAATTAAAAGAATTTATTTTCCCTAGTTTTCTTAATTGGATCATATCTTCTTCATTATAACTCGGATTTCAATTTCTTTTGCACAGATGGAACGAGTTCGTTGTGCTCTACAAAATGATATCCATTTTCAATATTTTTTGAGAAAAAAAATTTGCATCTCTCTCGTTACCAACTCCATACCATATGGTATCTCCTTCGTTGTTTAGTTATTTTCGAAAAGTTTTACGCAAAAAGAACGATTAATCATGATCTATTGGATTTCAAAATTTTATGGGAGAAAAAATTTCAAACCTCTCATTACCAACTCCATACCATACTATACCACCCTGGTATGAGGTGGTATTTTTCATACCATATGGTATGCTATTATTTAATATCATATGGTATTGACTGGTATTAAATAACAGCAGATGGTATTGACTGGTATTTTCATACCATATGGTATGCTGTTATTTAATACCAGTCAATACAATATGGTATAGTCAATACCATATGGTATAGACTGGTAATAACTGGCAAATTTTTTTTGTTCCAAAAAATATCAAAGTGGATATCATTTTGAAGAGCACAATTAATCTGATCTAACTGTGCAAAAAAAAAATTCCGAGTTAAAATGAGTGAGAAATCGTCCGTTAAGGATTAAGGGAAAGAAAATTAATGATTTTTCCAGGAGAGAGAAGGAAGGACTGATGTGGCAGATTCTTATTGGGTTATGCATGGAGTTACTCACCACAAGGTTACTCACCGAATCTGCTCCCTGCAAATGGATCAACCAAGATATCATATGAATTGTTGGGAACGGATGAGGTGAGTAACCTTATGGTGAGTAACTATGAGTAACTCGCCCACATCAGCATGACATCAGCATCCTCTCTCTCCTGGAAAGTCTTTAATTTTCCCCTCCTTAATCTTTGACGGACTATTTCTCACTCGTTTTAAGTCGAAATTTAATTTTTTTTGCACAGTTAGATCAGATTAATTGTGCTCTTCAAAATGATATCCACTTTGATATATTTTTCGAACAAAAATAAAATTGAGCCATTTTATACCAGTCTATACCATATGGTATTGACTGGTATTGAAATAAGAGCATACCTATGGTTTGAAAAGCGTACCATGGTGGTATGACACAAAACAAAACTGTAGGATGGTTGAATACGACTTTTAACATTGTATACCATAAGATACCACCCCGTACCACAGTGGTATTGTATGGTATTGTGTGGTATTTTTTTGTCTTGTAATTTGTTCACCCAGAAATTTGTAGATCCAATAGATCATGATGAACTCGTCCCTGCTGTGCAAACGTTTTTAAAAACGAATTAAAAACGAAGAAGATACCATATGGTATGCAGTTGGTACCGAGAGGCCAGAATTTTTTTTCCTAAAAAAATATTGAAAATTGATCTCATTTTGTAGAGCACGATGAACTCGTTCCATCTGTGCAAAAAAAAAAATCCGAGTTAAAACGAAAAAGATATGAGTCAATTAAGAAAGCTAGTGAAAATAAAAATGGTCTTTAATTCTCCATCCTTAGATCTGAATTTTTTCTAAATGAAGGGTCCAGATTTGGTTATTGATGGGTGCATAACCCATGATTATGCACCCTAACTTGAGTCTGAATTGTTTCCCTGCCTGCATGTTCCTCGATGAAGCTATATCCATGCATAGTTCACAACAAGAATCTTGTATCTTCTCTAAAACACCATCAAACATAATTGAAGCAAGGAAGTGGATTAGAAATTATTTAATGAAGAACCAACCAACCAATCCTAATAACTCAGACGTCTATTGTTACCACTCTTTCTGCTACTCATTAGTTGCCTAATGTAGGGTGAACGTCATTGTCGGAATTGAGAGCACCTCATTGGGAAGGAAGGAGGTTGTCACTAGATCTCCACCAATGTTGCATCCAGTCTGCAAATTTGTCTTTAGGACGAGCCTATCATTGTTACATTTGATCATGTCTGGAGTCTGGACTTGATGTAGGCAATTTTTCAATTGTCCCGGTCTTGCCTACAACTAGGAGACCGCCAGGTAACTTCAACCTCCAACTAGGAATGATAATGGGCAAGTTCGGGGCGGGTATCTCGATACCCATACACGCCTCGCGATAGGTCGGGTAATTTATTATGGGTCGTGGGTCGGGGTAAGTCAACCTAATGGATATGCAATTTATAATTTTATATGGAAAACATTAGAAATATTCGTTATTATCATTTTAAGACCAAGAAACCAACCCATATAACGATAAATGCAAATAAATTATTAGAGAAATTTAGATTTTCACTAATTTACAAATTTATTATAGCTAAAATATGATGTAATAAAAGGAAAATCATAAGTAATTTTACTAAGATTACATATAATTTAAGCAAGAATGGGTCGAGAATGGGGTGGGTCAGGGCAGGTCGGGTCGACGAGAGTACCCATGCCCGCCCCGCCCCAAAATAGTCCAAACAAGTCAGGTAAAACAGGCCAGGTCGAAATTGTCATCCCTACTTTCAACCCTATGTTTAGCAATAAGGTATTGCATAAGCCAATCCTGAAGATTCCATTATGGGGAAAAGCACCAATTCTAAAAAAGAGGATGGTATATGCGTGTATGTTAACCTGGAAAAAACCTGGAAAAATGACAGTCTCACCACAACACATGCAGAACCAGTGAGATTTATTCTATTACATTCTTCTTAGCAAAAAGTTATAGACATTCTTTTTAAAAATATATTCTTGAAACCTTCAAATTTATACATAAAAAATACATTAGTTAAAAATAGCAATCTTATTACATACAACAAGAGTACATGACCTAATCAATTACATAATTGAGGTCATACTTTAATATAGAGAGCAACGTAATTGCTAAATTATTGATATGATGGTGACATTTTTGTAGTCCATTCTTGCCTAGGAGTTTCACTTCATATGTATTTGTATTTTTAAACAGAAAATACTGATCCTTGTAATTATTGGTAGTATTTTAGCTGTGAAAATTCATGAAAATAATCTACCATATGAGAATCCAGACACTGTCTGATGGGATCAAGACATCACATTGTTCTTGTGGGATGGGAATTATAACTCACTAAATTTATGTACCAACCTTATCCGATCTTGAATATAACTAAAATTTTCCTTTTGTTTTATATAAAAAAAAAACAATAGGGCATGCATGGGAATTAAATCACTAATAATAATTTATTAATTATCTGGGCTTGGTGAGTGAGAATGAACAAACTTCATAGAAGGCTCTCGTTATCAAGTTTCCATGCATGTCATGTGTCTTCGAGTGATTCTAGGAATGTCATTTTTGTCATTGCACACAGTTAATCTATATATAGAAAAAACGTCTTCATTAGAGTTCGAACCTTAGTCACTTAAATGAGAAAGAGCATTATAACCAACTATGCTACATTGTCTTATTGTTATTTCTTTTATGGGTAAATACAATATACCAGCCACAACTATTATGAAGTGAGGAATTAAAGCCACAACTATGAAAATTCAAATGATTAGCCATAACTATTGTTGCGGTTCAAGATATGGCTAACTGTCCGTTACTGTTATTGAATTTTTAACGGAGAAGGCCACGGTAGCAGCCACGTCGGACTGCTTTTAATTTATAACTTTAAAATATAAAAATTTAGTTAGTATTACTAACGAAATTATTAACAGATATTTAACGTTTGGCTAATAATTTGTATTTTCATAGTTGTGGCTATAATTCCTCGCTTCATAATAGTTGTGGCTAATATATTGTATTTACCCTTTTTGATTAAACTCTAGAAATATGTTTGGTGATTATGCTTTTATATTTATATTTTATCTTAAATTATTTATATTTTGTAGAACGATATTAGTTCTGAAATCAGAACTTTTTTTTTTTTACCAAAAGATAGCTTGCATTACCAAGAACAAAAGATCACAAACGATTACACCTCCGACTGGAGCCAAACGCAAAAATCAAACCCCTCAATAAGAGCGGGATACAAAGAAAGGGCTTTCCTAGCCACCCTATGGGCTACCCTATTGTTATCCCTGCCTACAAATCGAAGCATCTCCCGCGAACCATTCACCAACATTCCCTGAATCTCCTGCAACACCGCACCCCCACTGGAATCCCACGTACACCCCGCCACCACTTTGTCAATCACGACTTTCGCATCCCCCTGGTAGAAGACATCCTGGGCCCCCATCCCCCGACACCACAAAATCGCCTCCCGAAGTGCCAACAACTCCACTAGCATTGGGTCAGTAAGACCATCCATCCTCCTTCCCATCGCCCTGACTACCACCCCATCCGGCCCTAGCAGGACAATCCCCACCGCAGAGTGAGAAGCCTCGCGCACTGCCCCATCAAAGGTGCACACCCAAGACACACCCTGAGGCCACTGTCCCGTCCCACTGGCCGCCCCCTGCCTCTGCTCTTGACGTCGCCCCTCCTCCACACCATTCGCCTGCCGCCACTCCTCCACCTGGATACACCACTGGTTGCTTAAGACCACCCTCTGATACTGGCATCCATCGAAGACAACCCAATTGCGAGACTTCCACACCCGCCAGAGCATGGAGACGAACTGCATAAGGATTCCTTCATCAGATACCTCGTCCAGCAGCCGGCGTACCAATAATCCAATATTCTTCACTGGCAACCTAGCCCGAATATCCTCTAGTCCCGAATCAGCCCACAAATCCTTAGCCACAGGGCAATGGAGAAACAAATGCTCCAAATCCTCCACCTCATGCCAACACACCGGACACCGCTCCTCCACCACAATGTCTCGAGCAATAAATGCCTCCACGGTCGGCAAAATCCTGTGCATGACCTGCCACATAAAGAACTTAAGCTTTGGCGGAATTGGAAGATTCCACAGCTTCCCCCACAGACCTGGGTCCATCCACGATACCTCACACTTGCCCCGCCACTGGCTCTTATTCAACCGCATCGCTAAACGGTAGCCCGACTTAACCGTGTATTTTCCGGAACGGTCCTCATGCCAGACTAGCTTATCCCGAATAGGCAATCGAGGCAGAACGATCTCTTTGATTGCCCGACCAACCTCCGGATTGAAGCAATTCGCTAAGCACTCATCGCACCACGTCCCAGGCTCCTCACCCATCAACCCTGCTATAGTGGCCCCTTCCCAAAGATGAGCTGACGGTCGCACCATTGGAGGATTAGGATGACATCCTGGCACCCAGTTTGCTGTTGCTATCTCCACCTCCTCCCCCGTACCCACCTGCCATCGCAGCCTCGCCTTTAGAAGCTGAACCCCATGCAAAACACTCTGCCACCCCCAAGACGGCCTAGATCTAGCAGTAGCCGTCAACAGGGAACCATGCGGGAAGTACTTCCCCTTATAAATCCGAGCAAGCAATAAGTCAGGCTCCTGAATGATCCGCCATCCTACCTTGGCCAGGAGAGCCTGATTAAACTGTTCAAAGAGACGAAAGCCCAGACCCCCTTCCTTCTTGCTCTGGCACAACTTTCACCAAGACCTCCAGTGAATCCTTTCTACCGAACCACCCCACCAAAAACGAGCCATGTATTTATCAAGTCGCCTGTACAACGTCACGGGAAGTTTAAAGCACGCCATAACATATACTGGCAACGCCGCCGCCACTGATTTAAGCAAAGTCTCTTTCGCCGCCCAAGACAGGTGACGCTGCTTCCAACCTTTTAACTTCTGCAACATGGTCTCCTCTAGAAAGCGGAATGTTTCCGACTTCGATCGAGCAATTAAGGTAGGCAGGCCCAGATACCTATCTTGTACTCCCACCGCCCCAACGCCCAACTTCGTTGCCATAGCCACACAGTCCTCCTCCTCCACATTCCGGCTGAAGCAAACCGTTGATTTCGCCAAATTAACACGTTGCCCGCTCAACTCCTCATACTCCCCCAAGACCTGCAGCAGATTCTCACAGTGCTGCATCGAAGCTTGCACAAACAAATATGAGTCATCCTCGAAGAAAAGATTGGACACCCTGGGCGCTTTCGGGCTAACCCGAACCCCCACCAGCCGCCGGTCCACCACTGCTTTTTTTATCAGCGCTGTTAAACCTTCCGTGCATAGCACAAACAACAGAGGTGACAACGGATCCCCCTGCCTGAGACCCCTGGTCGGTCGAAAGTACCCTGCTGGCATACCATTCATCATGATCGAGAAGGAAGAGGACGAAATACACTCCTGAATCCATTGGACCCACTGATCACCAAACCCCATTCTCTTCAAGAGCGAAAGTAAGAAAGGCCATTCCACCCTGTCATAGGCTTTTTCCATGTCAACCTTCAAGGCCATATAGCCCTTCTTCCCTTTCGTCTTGATCTTAAGATAGTGCATGATTTCATTCCCAATCAGTACATTATCAACAATTTGTCTCTCCTTGATAAAAGCATTTTGCTCAGGCGAGACCACCGTTGGTAAAATCAGCGCCAACCTATTAGCCAAGATCTTAGAGATAATCTTGTAGATGACCTGACATAGACTGATTGGACGCAATTGGCGCATCGTCTCAACTTCCTCCACCTTCGGAATTAGTGTCACCCAAGTGTGATTAAAACTCCTAAGGAACTTGCCATTCACGAAAAAGGACTCCACCGCTTCCACGACCAAAGGACCCACAATATCCCAGTATGCCCGAAAGAACTTAGCCGTGCACCCATCAGACCCCGGTGCCTGCGTAGGTCCTATTGAGAAAACCGTACGCCGTATCTCCTCTGACGTACCAGTAGCAACCAGAGCCTGATTCATCTCCGTCGTTACAAGCCTCTCAATAGGCAAAGCCGCCACCCTGGCATCCAGATTCTCAACCTGGTGTTCTGTCGTAAACAGCTTGTCAAAGAAATCCACCGCCATTTTGCCCTTCTCCTCTTCCTCTTCTACCCACCCCCCCCCCCCCCCTCCTCATTCCGGAGCTTCTCAATAAAATTCTTCCTACGGCGAGTACACTTCACCATATGGAAATACGAAGAATTTCGATCACCCTCCTTCAGCCACCGAACCCTAGATTTTTGTTTCCAAAAAACCTCCTCCGAAGCCCATTGTCTCCCTAGCTCCACCTCCAGCTCCCTAATCGTCTCCCAATCCACCGGATTACCTCCCCTGAGAGCCTCGATCTCCCCTTGCAGAGAGCAAATATTCCTCGCCGAATTCGTCGTCCCCGCCCGCGACCAATCATACAGCATATGCCGGACCTTTTTGAGCTTCGTCCAAAGTTTAAACATCGGCGATCCCGATTCCTCCTGCGCCCAAACATAATCAATCATGAGACGAACCTCCGGATTTTTTACCCAACGGGCATCAAACCAAAATAATCTTCGGGCCGTTCTTTTAAAAGGCTTGTCCGCAATAATGAGTGCCCGATGATCGGACCCAATATCCGTACAATGAAGTACAATCGTATCAGGGAAGGATTCCGCCCAAGCCGCCGAACCTAGCGCACGATCCAAGCGTTTCTGCACACACGCGGCCCCCATTCGTTTATTCTTCCACGTGAACATCGGACCCTGGAAACCCAAATCGTGAAGCGCCAACGAGTCCACAAAATTACGGAAGTCAAGGGACTGGGACGGCGCCCACGGAACGCCTCCCTCCTTCTCGTTTGACGAGAGAGTCGAGTTAAAGTCTCCCACAATGACAAAGGGTTCTGAAATCCCCTGGCAATAATCTCGCAGGGCCACCAGCTGCCCTCGACGCACCGAATCAACACAACTAATATAAACACAAACCACCACATACGGAACACCCATATTATTAATCCGAACTGAAATAAAAAAAGACGAACTACATAAAACCGTAGCACAAATGCTCGGGGACCACCCTACAACTAGGCCGCCAGAAGAATCAACGGCATCAACAAGAAAACAAGACTCTAAATCAAACCCCAACCCACGCATACGACGCTTAACAACTTTTCTACGAGATCTGGTTTCCGACAAGAACACCAAATCCGGATTATTGACTCGAACTAAACCTAACAAAGACTGGAACGTGAGGGACGGCCCAATCCCATGCACGTTCCACGACAGCAGCCTCATTTAATCGATTGGGGCCATTTCGGGCTGGCTACCTCCACCATTTCTTTGTTCTCCTTGTTTGGGCTATCAGCGCACACTTTCTTCGTCGGTGTTGGATCCTGCGCAAGATCCTCCACCATCTCCACCGATCTCTTCCGCTCCACCAGCTCCTCTTCCGCAATTGCCATCCGGAAAACCTCCGACAGTTTGGGTAAATTAGACCCATATTCATCCGTCACCGTTGGGGCCACACCCAACATCTCTGAGCTCCCTCCTGCTTCCTTCACTTCGGGTTCCACCTCAACTTGCTCGCCATTAGGTTTTTGAGCACCCTCCACCGAGACCTGCTCCCCAACCTTTCCAGCGCCATTAATTTCCAATCCTGGTGACTTCGCCTTCTTCTTTGCCCCTTTGCCTTCCGCCGCATTCAATCCCCCCGCCATCTGCCCTTCCATCCCCGCGTTTCCCCTAGCACCCGACCCCTTCTCCTGCCCCTGCTCCGAGCCCCTCCCCGCCGGCACTTCCTCCTCCTTTCTTGCATTTCCTTTCCCTCCTGGCTTCCCTCCCTCTCCACGCCCCTTCAATCCCAGCTCCGGCCTCCCTCCACCCGCCGCCGTTTGTTTGCCACGGGTTCCAGCACTCAGCCCGGCAGGCTCCCTAACCTGCTTCGACCGGGGTCCAGTCTCCTCCACACGGGACCCCCGACCTCCCTTCTGGGTCCCCGCCGATCCCCCCTGCCTATTCCCCTCGCGTATCCCAGCTCCCTGCACCCCTCTCACGGCTCGGTCACCGTCTGCCGGTAGCGCCAGCACCACCTCTCGCTCAGTACTCTTTGCATCAGCCTTCCTTTTTTCTTCCCGAGCCGTCGCCGACGCATTCGCCACCTGCCCTTTTGTTTTGGGGTTCACCCAAACCGACTGCGGCAGCGGAGGATAATTATACTGAGCAGGTTTGAGTGTTTCTTCCTTCAGGCGGTAGCCCACCTCCGTCGTCGCCATCTCTTGGCCAAATCTCTCATCGCCAGCTGGGTCTGGGAACACACAATTCCGTTCCATGTGCCCCAATCGCCCGCAATGGAAGCAGAACAGGGGAAGGAATTCATAGGCAAAAGTCACCCAGAATTTTCCGGCGACTTCATTGCTAGCCCAAATTTGCGACCGCAGCGGCTGGAGAACATTGACTTTCACCCGGGCTTTGACAAACTGGTCGGACTCCCCTTTGATTCCAAACAGGCCGACATCAAGAACCTCGCCCAATTTCGTTTCCGCCACCCTTCTACCAAACGCGATCGTACGGCAGTGGGATGGGATCCCCCACATCTGAACCCAGAAGGGCGCGAATCCAAGGGAATCAAAGACCTCCTCCGTCACCGGTGCCCAGCGTTGGAGGTGTAAAACCCGATCCTTGACAGGCCACGGCGTGCGCTTTAGCACCCATTCCATGTCCTCCGTGTCGTCAAACAGAAATTGCAGAAGACCCATCTCTGCCTCCATCACTTGAACCTTCTTCCTGCATTCCCAAGCACTAGTGACAATCTTATGAATGACAGACAAACTCGGCCGGTTCTCAATGAACAGTCTCCCCAGGAGACTCATTTTCGCTCTCTGCATACTCACAACCACATCTTCCGTGAAGAACTCCACGATTTGGTCTTGGCATATGTTCTGCTCTGCCATTGTTTCTTGTTGCAGCTTCACGACTTGTTTCGTCGGTGGCGCAAGACAGACCAGAGAAAGGCTCGAAGCAATCTGCCCTTTGCACAGCCTTATTTTATGTAAGCAATCTACCAGCCAACCCTTGTACTTTTTATGTATGCACAGGTTGTTGTAGAAATCGGCCAAATTTAAAAGCCCCCCAAGAGTTCGATCCCACAAAGGGAACCCGATCGGATTTTGGAGGATAATCCACGGGGTTATTTGGATACCATAAAGATTCGGGGCTCGGCAATTATCCCCATCCCAACCACTTAACCGATTTTTAGTCAAGTAAATCCTCTTCCGGATTTCGAAATTAATATTATTGATATTTTTAAATCCCCCTCAACTCGGGTACAACGGATTCGCCGCCAACTGCTCCACGTCAGTTCGAATCCGTAATTTTCATCGCCGAGCGTCGGCTCTGCCTGCCGACCACCGCTGCGGCTCCAAGCCTCAACCGGTTGACCAGAGATTCTCCGGCAACCAGGGCCAAACTTCACCATTGGTAGCACAAATCCATTCCCAGGGCCCCTTATACGGTCCCCATCCTCCAATCGAGGTTTTCCGGACTGATCAAGCCCAGTCTTCATCATAGCCAACTCTCCATCCCGTGCGTCTTCCAGCCAACGTTTCTTCGCCGCTGTGCGCAACATAGGATCAGCGGAGCGCCTGAATAGAGCCACAACCTTACGGCTCATCTCTTCCCAGGTTTTTCCCCCCCCAACGCGCCCACGTCTAAGCGTTCTCCATGGTTTCATCCTTCGAAAGCCAAATGGAGAGGAGGAGGAAGCATGCCGTTTCCGCGATTTTTCGTAGGAGAGAGGACAGAGCATTCCGCCACTTTTTTTTTTTTTTGCTGCTTGCAAAATATAAATTCTGTAACTTTTTTTTTACAAAGTTAACATTAATATTAAATTATATGTGTAGTTTAGTTTAGACAAATCACATAAGTGTAACCAATACATGGGCCTTTATGACGAGTATTTTCATTTCTTGTGTCAAAAATACACATAATATAATGACAAAATTGGAAATAAGAGTCTCATTTCAAATTTCGTGGCCTTAGAGTGATCCTAGAAAGCTTTTTTCGTCATTGCGCCCAATTTATCTTTATATTATGTTAGATTGTCACAAAAACTTACTATATTTTTCACAAGGGTCCATGTTTTAGCTACACGTATGTATTTGTCTAAACAGAATTATACATACAATTTAATGTTTCAATCAATATTACTTGAGTTCCGATTTCACAATTAATCATTTTCTATAAGATATAATCATCTCAGGTAAAATACCTTTCGTACTAGGTTGAAGAAGCTCTTTCTATAAGATACATTTAATGTTTTAAGATTTTCCATTTCCAATTTCTCGAATTGTGAGTGAAAATAGGAAAAGTAAGTTTGTCATCACAATTATTTATCTACTTGCTATAAAAAAGTATCAATGTTGAGATTTGAACCATGGTCCCTTCAAACAAAAATAATAATAACAACCAATTATACTAAACAAATTTGTTTTATCTTCTTAAATTGTAAACATACACTAAACAAAGATTTGAAAAGCAGAGGACAATTCCATCACTGTGAGCTAGCCTATTAAATCTTCTAAAAAGCAAAGTTTACTACGTGATTTATAATTTTTTATAACCTATACAATTTCGGATAATCTTAAAATTGCAACCCATATTTCATGGCTTGAAATAATGCATATCGAATTACAGTATTGAATATGCAAAAGCCATGCAAGATTCTGTAAATTAACATAAATTCTCATAACTAATCCGAAGCAATAATATTTTGTACAAACTATAGGTGAATGGTTCTCTAAAATTTTAGCCTGGTTAACTGCTAAACATTAAACCTCTTGCTAATCTGCCAATCTGGCATGAATGGACCTACCAATAATGAGACGATATCGAGTTTAATGTGATGTTCATTTTGCCATTTCTAGATGTGTTAATCAATTTATAGGACATTAACGTATAAATGAGTTATAATTAACCTCATTATACAATTTTTACTCTTTATAAGAATTAATTTAATTTTAATATTTGTGATGCATGAAATATTTTATGTATGATTAGAGGTATACTTATTATTTGTGACATTAATGATAGTTGGTTCAAATGTAGTAAACTTCACCAGGTAGTCAAAATCGAATACTAGGTGCATTTATGACTGTTTCTTTATCTTGGTGTTATGAATGGGTAGAAACTTAATTATTAGAATGCATATAATTATACCTAGGCACATGTTCGAGCTAGCACGACACAGTTAGCGCATACCATGAAGATAATATATGTGGATCAGCCCTTTACAAGCATGAATGCTTCATGGGTCGTACTAGACTTAAACTCCAAGACTCGCGCGCAGGTGCGAGCACCACACAGTCTATATTGGTAAACTCATATTTTATGGAGATATGCTCCATTTGATAAAAATAAAATAAAATATTCTAAAAACAACATATAAAATTTGAATTAATGAGTAGTTTTTCACATCAACGTGTGACGACTCGTATTCTAAAAGGTTTATAAAAATACATTCATTGTTGATTAACGACTCAAATCATTCTTGATTGCCTTCATAGCTAAAAAGTCTTTTTACAGCTTGCAGTAATAACAAACAACGTCAACAGTAACTTTAGAAGCAAGTAAAGTGAAGAAATTGGGATTTAGTATCTCTTTGCAAATGTGTGTTTTTTTGGGGTTGGGGGGGGGGGGATTTTTTTGTCTACAAATTTGAGGAAGGGGTTGAAAGTTGAAACTCGTAAATTGAATAGTAGTATTGAACATTTGGAAGCGATATATAACTCTTAAATTAGTATTAAATTTTAGCTGGTTGACCAATAGCCTTAGACCTCTTGCTAATCTGACATGATTGGATCCAATAATCATAAGATGAGATTTAGTTTGATATGTTGTTCAAAACAATTTTTATGTGTAATTATTTGTGTGGCAAATACACGTAAATAATAAGTGAAGATGAACCTGATTACGCATTTTGATTCTTTTGATAAATCAAATGGTTTAAGCGATGAACTAACTATACACTCACTCAATTGATTTAACGAGTGTTGTTTTTATCACTTTTAGTAATTAGTTTATTCACAGGCTAGCAAACTACTTTGCTCCATCGAGGAATAAGCGACCATCTGTTCGTCAAGTTTTAGGTGCTCTAATTCACACTATCGACTGTGAATGAAGAAGAAGTATTTCGAACGCATAATTGGAGAAGTAATTGAGATGTTTCTAAGTTTCTCTTTATTCCAAGCGGTGGGAAGAAAGAGGAAGGAAAGTGGGAGAGTGGTGAGATATAAAGCTCAGAGAGAGATGGAAGAACAAATGAAAAAAGAAAGAGGAAGGCAAAACAGAGTGAGATGACACATTTAAAAGAGGGGAAAAATGATGTAGTGTGCAATAATTGTCATTGTCCTTTTCTTAGAGGATGATATTATATTTGACAGATTTTTTCCACTTCAATAAAAAATCTTAAATCAATATTATCATTTGGATGATTTTTTTCCCTTAATACGATTATTGCAATTTCTGAGATTTAAGGGGTATTTGATAAAGTCAACATTTTAGTAGTTTTTATTGAAGTTTGAATTAAAAGATCGTACGTATCGGCGGTTCGACCATGAAACTTCACATCATAGGCTAAATTGGTAGTTGATATTTAGCAGTATGAAATGGTTGAACTGCAGTTAAATTATGACTTCAGTATAAAATACTCTACAACCAACTTTTTCTATACGATTTTACAATCATTAGGTTCAAATAATTTTTTTACACTGGTAGAAGCAAAAGTTTTAAGGCACATTTTGAACAATCTATTTCAAAATAAACATAAGTAAGTTAGCGATAACGAGAATATGCGTTCTCATTCAACCCAAATGATACTTTGCAGCTTATTATCTTTTTAAAATAAATGTATGCTACTCATACCCTCACTCATTCATCAACATAATGAGTAAAATATATTTGATGTAATATGATTTCATAGGTTATTTATTGAATTATCTCATGAAAAAAATAGTTGCCCCATGAAAATTATTACATTGTTGCTAGACACTCTGCGATCTGAGAATAGTTTGGGAATTTTGTACACAACACATTTTCCAACTAACTATTAGCGACAACTTAACATCATGTCATATATATTTCAAATCAAGCAACTTCAGATCCATTACCAACTGTGTGGTAAAAAAATGCTCTCTATTGGGAAAAACTTAAAAGACATACTAAACTCTATGAGAGATATTTTCTTTTATCCTAAAGGTTGATTATGTATGTATTATGAGAAGCAACTCTAATATTCAACTATATGATTTAATTAAATAATGAATGACAATTAGTTATATTTTTTCATTCAGTAATTATATGTAATGCTTATATAATTTTTTTTCCTCTTTTCATGGAGGTCTAAACACATTATGCATTGTTGAATTGCTTTAGAAGTGTTATATACATAATTAAGATAAAAAAAATCATTTCATATATTTTAAATATTATATACATTATTATATGTCATATTCCTCGACAAAATTCTCCCGGCCAACGGGCCGGGTCCTGTGCTAGTGCTATTGATACCAAATAATGCATTATTTTCTTACTTTGCATATTATGTGTCTACTCTGTAAATGCTATTAACAAAATTTCAGACACATTTTCAAAATTGAAGAAAAATATCATTGGAGAAGCAAGAATCTAATAAAAAGGGAGGAAAAAAAAATAGTGATGGCTCCGGGGTTCAACAACAACGACAACATGAAATAAAACTCCAAAGCATGAATCAAATCGGCACCACAATGTAGACAAACCAATAGTATTGAAGATTTACAGAGCCGTGCCATATGTAGTCGAAAGTGTGCAGCTTGGTGAGAGAGAGTGGGATTTATTTAATAATAAGAAGACGAGCAAATTCCCTCGTCGGGGAGCCGAACGTTGTACCGGTTTTAACCCGGAGCTTTTGTTTATTTAACAAATGAAAGTAGATCATTTTTTGTTTTTTTTTTATATATGTGGGTTAATGGGGTTTTCCTTCTCACCTTCCTTTTTGCTTGTCCAAATTAGTAGCTAATTAATTATGGTGGGTCGTCAATTGAGTTAAAAAGAAAGATGTGACAAAAGGTTTATCTAAGAATTTATCCCAGATTGAATCTTGTAATTACTTACTTTTGAACTTGCAAGATTTGTAGTGAATCTAGTGATCTATCAAGAAAAGTAATGAGGTGCAAGGAGAGGAAGACACACAGAGTATTAATGCCATATTCCTCGGCGTCAATATGGGAGGAATTCCTGATCACGTGGAGGAATTTTACAATGCTTTAAAATATTGGTGTTTTAGTTCTTGCTTTTATGGTACAACTTGAAGTTGTACTTTTAACGTTATGGTACAACTTTAGGTTGTACCTATACTCTTTTGTAAAATCTCTTTATGGTACAAATTAAATTTGTACATTTAAGTTATGGTACAACTTGAAGAGTTGAAGTTGTACCACAACATAAACATCAAATTCCCTTATGGTACAACTCTAACTTGTACCTTAACCGTTGTGATACAACTTAAAGTTGTACTTTAAAGCACCAATACTTTAAAGCATAGTAGAAAGGCTCACTCACGTGACCTAACGTAGCTTAGATTTAGACGGACGTGAGTGTTTTGGTTTAATATTATTGTTTTGATTTTGTTCTCTT